ACTCATACCTAGAAAGGAAAATGTCTGTAGAGATCAGTGCATCTGTAATTCCTGTTGTGTCTTTGCTAAGAGAACTAGCATGACTGTAGGAGTCACATACTGCACTGGTCTTTGAGGTCAAAATCTTGACAGACCGGTTAGAAAAACTGGAGCAGGTTTTCTTCCTCCCCCTTGTTGTTGCCCTTCTATCATGCCTTATCTTGGTTGCCACACCAAACCAAGAACCCAGCCCTTGTCAACAGTGCTACTTAGTGGTAAGACAGCAATTCATCTTCCCATAACTGACCTGTTACAGAGTTGTTACCTACAGGCCACCTAATTCATGTGGCTAGTCTCAAAAATTGGATTTTTAACAACAGTTGTTAATGCCTTGAGTTCTGGTTCTGGACTAAGTGTGCATAAATGGCGATAAAATCCCTGTAATGATCTATCAAATGTTGAACAGGTACAAGAGGATGAAAGAGCAGTAGTCAGTTTTGGTATCACTGGAGAACCAGTAGTTTGTGGTTTCACCTTTTGAGAGGTCTGCTCTTATTACAGAGGATTATAGAGGATCTTTTCTTTCAGCTTGTTTTGTGTTGTCTGGGCAATAGCAATACCATTTGTTGTGAACAACATTGGATCTGAGTTCCTGTTTACCGGTGTCCCTGTAATCTCAACTCTTTCCTAATCTTATCTCAACTCTTTCCTAATCTTGGCTGTTGTAGAGATCACAGTTGATTATAGGAAGTGCCTAACTTGCTGAGTATGAAAAGTAAGCAACTGAGCTGTAGTCTGTGTTCATTTAGTTGGGGAAACAGTTTTGGTACTAACCTATGATGCAGGTAAGGGAAGGATGTGCATGCTTGAATCTGTTTGTTTCACATGACCTGATTTCCAGATTAGGCCTCACCTCTCTCCTGCTGTAAATGTACATGATATCAGCAGTTCAGGCTTCACTGTAAAAATCAAAGAAAAAAAAAAACCAGAAAAACCCACCCAATAAAACAAAAAACACCCTACTAGAAATACCACAAATATCACCCCCAGCTGTTGTATGTAAGGTCATGTAATACAAATTCCTAGCTTTCAAATCATTCTGTACAGCTTTTCAAACTATGACATGTTAAAATTGTGAATTTTAAGTGCTTGCTCAATGAGCAATTTCTGGATTGCTTTGTAATTAATGAATACTTGGCTTTCTTCCATTGTGCTTTAATGCATTCTGGGCTTCTTTCCTTTCTGTAAAGATACTTGTCCTGCCAGCCAAAGAGGGCAGAATTCCAGAATGTGATGGCTCTCTGCACCTCTGATAAAGTTGGTGGGGACTCTTTGGGCCCTGTTGACATTTACTTTTTCTGTACTTTTGAAAAGTTCAGAAGCAGTTCTTCTGTATTCCCTGTTATCCTTGCAAAATACTGCTTAGGCAGTTGGATCCTCTTCAGTCCCTTGCTCTCAAAGCAGCAAAGTCACAAAATGTATGGTAATTCTGTGCTCACCTGTGTGTTAAATGGAAACCTGTGTAATAACTACAGCTTTCTCTACTTAGGATGATGAAGACTGTCACTACAAGGCAGAATACAATGCTGCTAATGACACTGGCTTTGTTGACATCCCTCAAGGACATGAAAGAGCTCTCATGAAAGCAGTTGCAGCTGTGGGTCCAGTGTCTGTTGCTATTGATGCAGGCCATTCTTCATTTCAGTTTTATCAGTCAGGTGGGGATTTGTTAATTACATTTATTCAGATAACTGGGATTTTTTAATTACTCAGTATTCATTACCTTGCAGTTAAATAGATGAAAGAAAAACCAGGTATGATAATTCAGAAATCATTTTAATTCTAGGTCAGGGTTTTTTTCGACATGTATTCTCTTGTACATGTGTCTACTTGTCCCTCAGTTTTTGCCATGATAAAATTCACTTGCAGTTCCTTTCTCTAACTTTCAAGAAGCTGTGCAACATTGGAGTTGAAATACACAAAGCCTCTTGTATGTGAGGGATAAGGGTTTTGTACAGATGATTTTGCTCATGAATGAATACTTTGCAGGTATCTACTATGAACCAGACTGCAGCAGTGAAGACTTGGACCATGGTGTTCTGGTTGTAGGTTATGGCTTTGAGGGGGAAGATGTAGATGGAAAGAAATACTGGATTGTTAAGAACAGGTAAGGTCTGTTTCATATATCTGGGGGAGAATAGAAGGAAGTTTGGCACTTGTAAGGGGAGAGGTAGAGAGACAACAGTAATTAAAATCTGTATGTGGGAAATGGGTATTTGTTTCCAGATTGTATGGTATGATAGAAGGTAAAATCCAACTTATGCTGCTGGCAACCTAATAAAGTAAGCCCAAAGCAGCCATCTTATTCTGCTTGTTCAGTTAATTTAAGGGAGGTCAGTGCTGAAACAGCCTGTGAACCTAGTAGATAATAAAGCAGTGGAGCAGAGGGGAGCAGGAGAAAGCCTGCTTGTGGGGGTGTAATGGATTTTTTTTGAAGCAGAGTGCTGCTCACTTCTGTGAAATAGGATAATACTTGAACTTTAAAAATGGCATTACTCCCTAGGTTGGAGGGAAAATAAATTAATGCTGAAGGCCACATCACATGAGCTTGTCTCATGTTCTCAGCATTACTGGGGCACCACCCTCAAATGCTGTTTGCAGCCTTTGACTTCCCTTAAATTGCCTGGGAGCAGTGTCTGAGCTTCAGGCACCTGTAGTCAAGGTTTGCACATCAGTGTGACTACCTCGTGAGAGAATGACTGCATTCTTCAGTGGGATGCCTCCTGGGATGCTTTTAATTGTTGGAAAACACTAAGTTTTTGGCTGTGGCTGTCTTGGATTTTCTCCACAAGTGTGGAAGGCAGCAGTTTTTTCAGTTTTAAACACTTAGAGGGAAGGGCAGTAAATAAGTAACTTCTGAATATATAAACAAGCCCTTTGTTTTTGTTTTCAGCTGGGGTGAGAAGTGGGGTGATAAAGGATATATCTACATGGCCAAGGACAGGAAGAACCATTGTGGAATAGCAACAGCTGCTAGCTATCCACTAGTATAATTTGAAGACTGAACATTTCAGTACAAGAGGGGATTTAAACTGAATGACCAAACCCATGTTCGCATGTGGTAGCCCTGTGTCTTTCAAAACTCAACTTGATTTTTAAAACTCTTGAAGTGTATTTTACATGTTGGTGACATGCCACTTGTTTAAATTAATGTAAATGTTGGTATGTAAACAGCTTGTAATATTGCTAGCTTTTGACTGCTTAATCCAATAGATTCTTTATATTTTTCCTTTTTTTTTTTTTTTTTTTGTTAATTGCAATGTGTCCAAAGGTTTACTTTTTAAATAAATACTTAAATTCCACTACATACATATGGCTTTGCATTTTGGTCTTCTTTTCTACTTGGGACTTTGTCGAATAGGCATCCTAAATCATACACTTAGGTGGAGTCTGTATGTGTGTACCTCTCTGTTCACTGGTCACTGAAATACAACCTTGTCTGGGAATGGCTAGTAGTTGTTACATAAAGGAGTGTAGAATTTATGATAGAGATTTATTTAAAATGGGAAGTGGAAAAATGTCTCTGGCTCCTAGTGTCTCACAACAAAGATCTTCAGTCTTGTCATCTTCTGTGTGCAGCATCTGATCTTAATCACTTAGCTTTTAATTCTGTTAGTTTTCTTAATGGCACTTCAAAAGTAGCACATTTGTGTAGTTTGTGCAGTTACGTCCTTTTGAGCATTATAGCAGGAGCACCCAAAGCACACCTGGCTGTTCAGAGGGCTTATTTCTGGAGATATGTAGGACACTAGATACTGTTTTCCCCCTGTACCAGCTTTGGAGAAGGAAAGGGGGATAAGGGAGAAATTATTTCCATATGGAAAGTGACATTGGGCTGCTTTGTTACCTGTGTACTTGGTGGCTGACTTAAGTGAGGTGGTTTATGCAGTGCCCTTTATATGTCCTTTTCCCTCTGCAGGTATCACTGCAAATCTGAGCATTAGCTCTTGCATACTACTGTTCAGGTGTTGTTTGGGTGCCAGTAGCCAGGTTTGGGTACCTTCTGCAGAGGATGGTAAATGCCAGAAACAGGGAGAGAAGGCTTGGCTTGGCTTTTGGGTATTGACATCAGCTCTTGCTGTTGGGCTGTAGGTGAAGGAGGTGTAGTTCTGTAGCATAACTAGCACAAGCGCTGAGTTCATGGACCTATAGGTTTTTGTGCACATCTTTTCAGAAGCTGATAGCCATGCACACAAAGGAACACTTAGACCAGAACTTAGGGATTATTAATTTCCTTATTGTTGATAATGTAAGTCTTTAAGTTGCATTTAATAAAGTCATTTAAAGAGAAAAACAAGGTGAGTTATCAATAATAATACTTGTGAGTTGTTCATGTGCTGCTTGTAGATGAATTCTTTTAACCTGAATTTCCTGACAAGTTTGGTTCGTTCTTTCTTTTTTTTTTTTAAAGAACCTCACTCAGCCCAGTGGCTATATAACAAGCCACAGAGCAGAAATACTGGTTAGAACTTAGCTATTAAGTTGACTTGCTAAGCTAGTTGTGAAAAGCATCCACACTGCTTGTGGAAGCTTTGGAGTAAGTATTAGGGAGCTCACCAGGTGGCCCTCTAAGGGCTGAGATTCAGAAGGAAATGGCCCTGGTCTGTACATTCAAAATGAGAGGCAGGAGAAAAATACTGCCAGAGAAGTGACTGTGTAAGCTCCATATGCAGAAAATTATTTTCATTCTTGCTGCCAGAACTGGGAATGGACTGACACTTGTCTCTCCTAACACTTTTTAATCCTGGAAGCTGATGTTACTGTAAGCCTGGTAGTGCTTCATGCTTTGTGTTTCTTTATTTGCTAGAACAGAAGTGAGACCAGTAAAAAGCCTCCTGAGACTTGAACTGCTAAAAAAATGGGTAACAGGGAAAGGTGTTTGGTTGCAAAATCCAGGGCTCAGAAAAGTTGCTGGGAAAACAAGGTATGTTTTATGACCAGATGGGAAATGAAAAGGAAATAACTTTCCAAAGTATCTGCACATGAATGGGCATGTAGTTCACAAAACAGCCATCAGCCTTTGACTTCTTTAGAAAAAAATATTTGTGTGGATTAAAACTTGCTGACTGTTCTGGCTGAACGTCCTCAGAGTGAATAATAAAGAAGGGGACAGGGTAAGCCAGGTCATGTAGATAACTCAGTATTTACACAACCTGAAGTAACAGCTTCACCCAGAATTGTGTTACCTGACACTATACAGACTAAAATTTTTTTAAAGTTGCAGTTTGTGTAAGTTTTTTTTTTTCCTAAGGAATATAAAGAACAGATTTCAAGAACAATATTAAATCTGGTTTTGGGATTCCATTGCAGTGGCCCTATCTTCGGCAAAGCTGTTTTATTTATTTACTTCAAAAATACTATCGTAAAGTAGCAAATTATTCCATAGTGGTATGTGTTCCAGTGGGGGAAGTGTTGTCTCTGTTTATCATTCTTCTTTTGTGAAGATACAGCAAATGCATGTTACCTGTGGTCATGGAAATCTCCAGAGTTGTTCCCAGAAAGCTGTGGTAATTAAAGCTCTTGATTACTAGTCCAGTGTTTTCTCTCCAAAGCTTCCACTGATTACATATTCCTACTGATAGCTGAAGCTGCATTTATTAATTTAAAATATTCTAGTCCACATGTATTATCAGTAAAATACATACTAGTAAAAAATCCTATTTATACCTGGTTTAGGTCCTATCTAAATTACGGCTACTGTTGTTAATGGGGTCTTACACCTATTGAGATACATGAGCTGGGCACTATTACATGCTAGACTGCAGTTCTGTACAGTGATAAACCTTTGCAGTCCTTGTTGACTAGCATCTTAATTGTGAAAATTACTTTTTTATTGGAATTTGGGAAGAAAAAAAAAGTTTTGCATTTGATTTTCATGTGGTGATGCTTCTTAAACTGTTCTTGTCCTGAAGGTCTCTTAGCAGCTTCTCTGCTCTGCTTATTGAATGTATTTTATCACTCACTGGACCTGAGCTTTTAAAAGCATGTATGAGGCAAGGAAAATCATGAAATTAAATTATTTCACTTACATATGAAGTACTTATTCTTTAGAGTCTGTCACGTAGGAAACTATTTTCCCTTAAGAGCACTGAATTTCTCGTACTATCTGTGACTGCAGAGTAGAACAGAATTTTAGAGGTATTTTCCTGATGTATTGGTTTTTGCCTTTGCTAAAGTTAAATCAATTTCTAAACATTGGCAGTGAAACAAATGTTATTATTCTGCTACACAGGCTATGCACTAATACAATTTCCAAAATGCTTTGAAGAGCTATAGTAAAAAATGACACTGCATGTGATTTCATGCAGTGAAAAACTTACAGGAAAGTCAAACATGATTAATTGTATCATTGAAGGTTTTCTATAAGGAAAGATTACTGTTGATCTGCATAACAGCACTCCAAAAACATAGTTCTGAGACAACCAGAGACAAAGGAAAATGGGAATATCCACTTCAAAAAAAACCCAGAAGTGAGCTTCTGAATATCAGTTATGCAGCATTTGCTACTTAATCTCCCTGATAAAATAACAAATCCTGTCATATATGTCTTAAGCATAATGCCAACTAATCAGTTTTGACATAGTAGAGATTGACAGCAGTTTCTGGCTATTAACCAAAGAATTGAGCATAGCCTGAAGGCTGTCATAATGTAACGTGATGTTTCTGCTTTCTAGCTGTCTTAGGAGTTTACCAAGGTGTATGACAGAGTAAGCACCTATTTTTACTTACTGTCCATACAATGCTCTTCAGTCTTTGCTGGGAAGTCATATCATGAAATGTTCACTCAACTAATACACTCTTTTGAAGAAATAATTGTTTAAATCAGTAATGGGGATTTTATTATCTTATGTGCTAATCGCAGTTTATTGAATCATGAGTGAAATTTCGGGTAAGTGCAGGGGCACCTAAAGCGTTTGGAAGAAAGACTAAAATCAAAAGCAAAATTTCATTCACAATTCACAAAACTGAACTTAAGTGATAATAAGGCTCTTCTGAAAACAGATGGGAGCCCAACCAGGAATTTAGTTTGGGGGAGGAGGAGGGTTGGCCACAGGGTGGAGACCTGATCCATGGATTGATTAGTTTAGATAGATTAGGAGTTTCAGAAGAATCTCAGAAGATGCCACCTTCATTTGTGTTCACAAACACAAGTGGCTGTTTTGGTTTTTTTTCAAAAAAAATATTTTGGTTTTTTTTCTTTGCTCTGTTGTGCAAAGATTTATTGTCCAGTGGCCTTAAAATACGATTTCTGCAACACTCTTTCCATCCTGCCTGTTTTCTGCTGAAGAGCTACTGCCAACCTCTGTGCGCAAAGGAGCAAAGAAACCATGGCAATGGCCATTTGTAAAATACTTACTGGATTATTTTTTACAATGCTTCTTCCTTGTTTTGTTCACTGACTGTTCTCTAGGAGATCCAAAACCTACTTCTGAGTGAAACCTGTTAGACTTTCCAGTAAAATGATGCTGGGAAACACATTGTAGAAGTAACACTGTGCGTTGTCAGGTGCAATGCTGCAATGCTGCTCTACTGGGAAAAACTGTAATCTCAGTAACTATATGCTACTAAATGCCATGGAAATATTCTAAGTTTTATGGAGTAAGATTGTTTTTTTTTTTTAAAATTATTAATGAAAACCTCCTGCACAGCATGCATGCCATGACATAGAACTGTTTAAAATAAATGCTGGGCTACTAGATGCTCAGACTGGCTTAGGGTGTCTGAGAAGTTGATGCTGAAATGGGATGTTGAGAACCCCTTGAGGCTGTAACAAGTCTTGGAACACGCTTGATTTTGTTTAAAACTGAAAGTCAAATGCCATGGCTTCAGAGCTGCCAAGTCAGGTGTTTTTTCCCACAAAGGGTACTTCTAAGCATAGCTCTGTAATATATCAGTTTATGCTGCTGGTAACAAGGCACAAAAACACCCCTAGATAGGGCTGCCCACAGAACTTTTAAACCTGTTCATTGCTGTGTGTGCAGGTGCCCATTTTTGCTGGATATAGCAAAACAATGAAACCAAAACAAACCAGAAATAAAAACAATAACAACAAAGAACCCACCAAAAAACCTCAATAAAGCCCCCAACCAAACCCACCAAAAATAAAACCACATATCACAGTCTTTTACCATAATAGCACAGCAATGCTAGAATTGTGAACGCAAGTTCTTCTCAATAGCCATCTTAACATTCCTTCTGCTCAGCATGTTTAGCGGTGTTGCTTTCCTCATTCAAGCATGAAGCATAAACTGACAGCCGGGTTTTTTTGGAACAGGAAATATATACTGGAAACATCAGCTGTGTTGTAAAATTGCATAGGCTTTTAGAGATTTCTCTCATAGTTAAAAGAAATCTCTCTGTTTATATAGAAATTCCAATGCCCTGTGCAAAGGTTAAGAATAAATCCTGCTGCCTTTTTGCTATTTGTTGCTTGCTAGTCATGGAAAGAATTGGAGAGGACCTGAGTTTTCTGCTTCAGTGCTGTTATGAGCATTTCTGTCACATTTCTCTCACAGTGTAATAGAGCATTTCAGAAGCAAACCTTGTGTACACAGGGTGCCCATCAGGAATACTTTTGAAATGGTATTTCTGTAGCACTATTTCCAGACATTTCAATGAACTTTATATCCCCATTTTGTTAGTAATTTTGCAAACCAAGAGCAAAAGAAACTCCCTCCACACTGAATTTTTAATCTAAACTGACACAGAGCTGAAAAGTGGGAGAGGAAGAAGGCCAAAAGCAGTGAGGCTGTCTGCCAGAGGGCAGACAACTGATTAGCAGCTGTGGGTGTGGATTTGCAAGAAGGCTAGCCTCCCCCTTTGGCTTTGTTTTCTCCCAGCATATCTTCAAAAGAGCTAAAAGTAAACATCCCCATTCTCAGCGTTCTTCTGCTGAGTTTAAATTTCAGATTCTACATTTATCTGCATGTCCCTTTCCACTTATCCTCCCTGCTTTTGTTTGAGCAGTCTCCTTTTTCTGTGCCGGAATAATAAATCATGCTGCGTTGTTAAAAGAGGGAGAAAATTGTCCACACAGGAACAAAACAGGAAACCTGGCGATCAAAAGGGCAAAAGACAGATGGTGTGTCACCCGGTGCGGTGTCTCAGAGCTGTGCTCCTCCGAGCACACGATGACAAGGCTGGTGTCGCGGCAGCTGGGCGTGGAGAGAAGCTGACCTCTTTTTTTCCCGGGCGTGTGCCGACGGTGCACTGGAGCATCTGCTGAATCAATGAGACATCAGGAACGGTCATGCCCGGGCTGGGATTAGGCTGGCCATGCACATTCAGCATGAGCACAGCTGACCCAGTAATTGAGCGGGCGCATTATCTCCTTCAGAGGTGTCCCTTCCAAAGTGATAAAATATTCACTGGGTGACCTGCTCAGCAGCTGACAACAATTCTTAGGCCAAATTTTTGTTTATTAACGTGGGAGTACTTAGCTGTTTTGGCCAACACCCTCTGCAAGCTGGCTCACCAAACTGCCTTCACTGAGTGCAATGGTCAGAACTACAAAGCTGCTACCAGAAAACAGGTTGTTGGCGTCCTGATGAATAGAGTCTTGCAAAGCCATGATGCAAATCATTGCATTGGATGAAAGCAACCTCCTCAGGGCAGATCTCAGTGGAAAATCCTATCTCTATGAAGTATTAAAATTAATTCACTTGAATCAGATCACATGCTTAGTTTGAGGTTTTTGGTTTTGTGTTTTCTGAAACCACATCTGTATTTGCAGAAAGCTAGGAACAAAAACCAAAGGTGTTTTATGGTAGTAATACATAGGGTTTGTGAATGCTGGCCATGATGACATGAAGCCCGAATGGTAGGGAATGTTTCATCAAAACTTCAGGTGTTCTGTACTTCTGGGTAACTGTGTGCAGATCCTCTATCTCAATGTTCATTTACTCTCTGCTATTGCCACTTTTGGGCCCTGGATATCTCTGGAAAATAGATCCTTTTACCTTTGCAGTCCCACAGAAGTAATTGACTTCATAATCTTTCCTCTTATTAAACCTCTTCTTTTCTACCATGGACACCAACCCCCCTTTTCTCACAATGAGTCTGTGTGGTATAATCCATGTAAGCTAAAAGCTCTTTTTTGTTCTCTGTTTCTAAATAGCTGGCATTTTATAAATTAATAAAACTTTTGCCTGACTTTTCCAGAAATATGAGTTGGCTTTATTAAAGAAACAGCAAAACCTCTCATGTGTATGTTTTGTTGAAAACAGAATAAAGTATCAACTTTTGATACAAATGCTCAGAAACACATTTGATTCTACATTTCAAAGACCATCTGCATTTCAGCTGCCTTGGTTTCTCAGGGATGGGTGAGGTCCTGCTGCAGAGTGTCCAGGATCAGCTCCTCAGTGTGCTGGGCTGGCAGGGCAGCAGCACAGGCAGGCAGGGTGCCACGGGACTGGTGGGACGCCTGCCAGCCCCAACCTGTTCTCTGATCCCCCATCTTGTGATTGCAGTCACAAGGCCACCTCTCTGCGTCTGGCTGCTCACACTAACTCAGTTTCCAGTCAAAGTAATTTGTGAACAACTGCTCATTTATTAGAGACTGGTGGGCATGCTGTGTTTTCTTGTGTTACTGGATACCACTAGGTTTAGGTAGTTTTCCTTTATTTTACTTCTGAAATAGGTGCAAATGTTCCCAATAATTATAAAGAAGAATTAATTTTGGCAACAAGTTTGACAACCTGTGTTTTAACAACAGTCATATATATATATATATATGGTACAGTACAAGTAGTATAGTTTCTGCATCTTTCTCCAAAAGTAATAGCAAGTCAAATGTGTACTGATTTATTCATATATAATTTTATGCCAAGAAGCTATTAAATACTGATACAAAGGCACATATGAACTAGGATTTAGTTCACATGTGTCTTACTAGGAATTTCCATGTATTTTTAATTTTGTATCATGCTGGTGAGTATCTGAGGAATAATAGCAGGCCTTGCTGACTTCTGCATCTGGCGGCAGTCACAATATCTTCATTGTGAACACTGCCTTCTTCTCTCAGCAACCTTGATGGCAGCTTGTGGTGTGTTCTCTTTCGCACCAGTCCAACCACTAAATAGTCTCTGATTCATTAAAAAAAAAAAAAAAAAAAAAATCTGCCTTACTTTCTCAGCAGCCCTCAGATACCTTGCAAAACCATGATGGGAGGCCATGGAAGGAAGTTGTGGCTTGGTATTGCAAGCACTTCGTAGGTGGTGTCCCCTCACCCCACAGTTAGTGTAAGAGAGCTCTGCAGAAATGGTCTGAACTAGTTTCACTCTGCAGAGGGAAACTTTAAAATTCACCCTGAGCCTTTAAGGACTTTGTGGAATGGTGTGCTTGCAGGGTTGTGCTATATGCAGCAGAATACATGCAAGTACTTAGGTAGGTGAGGTAGAGATTGAAGCAGGACTCCAGCAAAGAACATCCACTGTTCACACTGAATAAAGTAGCTGCTTTCTTAATCTGCACTTGAGGTTTGTATAGGTTGTTTATACAGAGCAGATATGGATCTCTTTGTAAGCACCAGCCACCCAGCAGCCCACAAACCAGGAGAATTTTCATTTAAGTGTCAGCAGCCACCTAAGCAGCACTAAGTTATTAGTCAGAGCAGTGTCCCAGCACTAGCCCCTCCACTACCAGGTGCTTTTGGTGCAAACTGAGGAAAAACCCCAAAATGTGGGGAAAATAGCAACTAGGATTAGATCCAAGCTTTGCTGTGAAACTATACTTCAATGAAAGCAAGTTGGGTGACAGTAAGTAGGACACTCAGTGACTGACACATTGCAGTGTGCAGGTGTATACATCCTGCCAGCAGGAGCACAGATCTTAGCCACTAGACTGTGTACACCCTCTGCAAAACAAACTTTCAGCATGTCCCTAAGTGGTGGTTTTTAGAGGCCCTGTGGTTATCTTGAGGAATCTCTGTTCTAGCCTTATCATCTCTCCCGGCCCTTGGGAACAGGACCAAGTTACCAGTGATCCTTCTGATGTAAAACTAGTATTGTTATCTTACTTAGGCTGGCCTCAAATTAAACTTGGTTTTAGGTTTCCAACTTAAAAAATGCAATGGAGTTCCTTGATAAATTAGTGACATCAATATCTATTTGTGTTCCTATGTAGAGACTCAGAGTGAGAGAGAATTACTATATATGTATATATGTCTAAAAAAGAAATTGTATATATGTGTATATGTATTCCAAGCACATTTTTTTCGCAGGGAAACAGATTTATTAGTTTTCACAATCAGGGTGCACAATTCCATCATGCAGTAAAAATATTTTATTATTACCTAAACCATATTTTTTTTTCTTTACCTCTTCAGTCACCAGGATTTATTTAAGTGTTTTTTGTGTTCTGCTGCTGATAGTAGCGCTTTGGGAAGCACGTGATGAGGAACAGAATAAACAAGTACACACTGTACTTGCTGATCCTGGGCAGTTGTCACAGCTTTAAAAAGTGCCAGAGAAACCTGAATGAGGAGTGCTTTGATACCTGAAGCAGCACTGAAATCACATCCTCACCCCTGGGATAGGAATAATTAAGGGTAAATACTCATCCTGAATAATTTTCTGTCTGCTTTTGTTCAGCCTGCCTCTTCTTTAGAAGTAATAAAACACATTTGAGTTAAAAAATAACTGTTGGATTTTCTTGGCAGGAGTATTCTTAACTCCTCTCTAGGTCCTAATGTAATTCACAGAATATTCTTAATAAAGTTTTGTACCAGCACAGTGGGGGCTGTGGATCAGAGATGAAAATGAGAAGAGGGTGCAGGAGTTGTTTACATCAAGGAGGTTCACTAAAAAAACATTCATATAATGAGACAGGAGAGTTGTAAAGGGGGTTAGACAGGAGGGTCTAAAACTTAAAGAGACCTAAAGCCCAGTTTTCACATCCTTATCACATAGTGTAATCACACATTTCTTTTCATTGCTAATTTTTGCTCTCATTGGTCAATGGCTGTTAGTTTCACAGTGGATTTCTGATCTCCTTAGGCAGTGTCAAGTCTGAGATCTAGCACCAGAAGCCCTAAGGGATGGATGGCTATAGAAACCTAGAAGTGTCAGAATCACAGAATCATTAGGGTTGGAAGGGACACCTGGAGATCATCCAGTCAAACACCGCTTCCGAGGCACGGTCAGCTCCAGCAATCTACACAGGAGCCTGTTCAAATGGGTTTTGAATGTCTTCACAGAGGGGGACTGCAGGACAACCTGGTCCAGTGCTCTGCCACCCTCAGTGTAAAGAAATTCTTCCTCGTGCTGAGGTGAAATTTCCTGTGTTTTAGTTTGTGGCCATTGGTCCTTGTCCAGTCACTGGGCACCACTGAAAAAAGTCTGGCACCATGCTCTTGACAGCCACCTTTGAGATATTTGTATGTGTTAATGAGATCTCCTCTCAGTGTTCTCTTCTCCAGACTAAACAGGCCCAGTTCCTGCAATCTCTCTTCATAAGAGAGATGCTCCAGACCCCAAATTATCTTTGTTCTCACTGACCCATCCTGTCACGCCACCACGGAAGTTTATCAGATCGGTCAAGCATGAGTTCTCCTTGGTGAATCCATGGTGACTGCTCCCAGTGCCTGGGTATGACCTCCAGAATGGGCTGTTCCATTCCCTTTTCAGGTATGGAGGGGAGGCTGACAGGGCATATCTTCCCAGGTCCTCCTTCTTGTCCTTTTTGGAGATGGCAGTAATGTTGACTTTGCTCCAGTCATCGGGCACCTCTCCTGTTCTCCATGCTTTTGCACAGATGATGGATGTTGGCTTATCAACATCTGCCAGCTCCCTGGGCTCCCATGGGTGCATCCCATCAGAGCCCATGGATTTATGGGTGTTAGGTCTCTCTAGCTGATCTCTAACCCAACCCTCTGTGACCAGGGTGGCATCTTCCTTTCTCCATCCTTCCTTCCTCTCTTGCCTCTGAGGTCTGGGACTCCTCAGAGCTGGCCTCACCGGTAAAGACTGAGACAAAGAAGGCATTCAGTAATTTGGCCTTCTCTGTGTCTTCCATCACCAGGACACCCATCTGATTCAGCAGTGGCCCCACATCTTCCCAATCTTCATTTTGCTGCTGCTGTACTTGTACAAGCCCTTTCAGTTGCCCTTCCCAGATTCAATGCCAAGTGGGCCTTGGTCTTCCTCGTCTCATCCCTGCATATAGGATGTTGTTCCTATAGTCCTCCCACAGGGCCTAGCTCTTTTTTCACATCCCAGAAA